ATACGTGTACTTGCAGTAATCTTCCTCCTACGAATCTGATCTTCCTCAAAATAACAAGGCTTATCCTCGTCAATTCGTTCCATCTTTGTAATCATTCCATTATGCTTCACACTTGGATGCTTGTTGATTTGCCTGGGAACAACAAGCCTTGTTTGGTTCTCTGCATCAATAATATTCACGTCAGTGACGTGATCTTTTCTGAGACGAAATTGGTGTTGAGTATTATTATCATCAGCATCACCACCACCACCAAAACGAGCCCTTAATGTTAATGGCTTCACGTCGAAGAAGCTCTGTGACTGAGAGATCGGAAAAGTGGAATAGCAAGCAACACCACCACTGCCATAGCCAAGCTCTCCGGCACAGTCCTGCATACCCTTCATGTAAAGTTGCCTTGCCCTCTTCAGAATCCTAATGGGACTTAACATGTACTTCACAAACAAACTTTGCTCCTTCTTCTTTCCTGTCCTTCTCATGATCATTAATTCCTATGAAACAAAGCTCGCAGAAGTTCGAGTATGGCTCTTTCACAACACAAGGTTGATGAGACCAAGTCAAGTTCAACCATGGACCATGGTTCTTCTATATCCATATCCATATATATATATATATATATATTAGAGACACATATACAGAGGATATAATTAATGTTTAATTTTGGACTTGTGTATTGGAGCTATAATATATAAGGTTTGCACTTTAGCCTGGACGGCAAGCTGAGGCCGGGAGGGAATCAAAGGACGTGTGGACCTCTTCAAAGCCAGTAAATTAACACGCAGGACGTGCGTGCGTGAAAATTAAGTTGATGCATAAGTTAATATCCGAAACTATGCATTTTGTGCCAATTTTTTACAAATGAGTTGCGACATGAATGTGACTCTTGTTTTTATCGACCGAAGAAATGGTTTTCACCTGTAATAATAAATATGAAGTAAGATTGAGGGAATTAGTTATCAGGTCTGCATCTTATATATATCTTGGATTAGGACGGTCATTCTTATTTTTAATTTTATGATTATTTTTAATTTTGTGATTAATTTATATATATATATAGGGATAATGAAAATTTATCCCTTCTTAATTATTCATTTGATCCCTAAAGTTCAATTTTTATTGATTTAGTCCATTACATTTTCTTAAATTACCATATGTCAGTCTTTAACTTTTCATTTAAAACACAAATTAATCTAATACATGTGTAAAGTATATCGATGACTTGTCATGTACTTCCACTATCATTTTAAATTATAAGACATTTTTAAAAAAAAAATTTAACGTCCTAAAACATAAGATAATTTGATAATATTAAAGTTTCATTAAATAGTTTTATTTTAATATTAACCTTTCTCTCTTTATTTAATTTTTATCATTATCTCTTTTCAATATATTAAATAAAGGATATTTTTAAAAATATATATTTTTATTTTGAAAATATAATGTTGTTAAAATGTATTGAATAAGATTTGTTGGTGTATAAGATTTTGTCCAACAATATCTTATAATTTGTCGCTAATAAACTCAAAGAGTCAACTAACTAAACTAACCTTTACGTGAGTTTAATTTTTTTCAATTTTATTTCATACACTATGTTTCATTCTTTTGTTTTTAAAAATTTTTGAGTAAGTTTTTTTTTGTTAAATAATTACGCTTATTTTTATTAATGTATATGAATATTATCAATTGCTAAATTTTATCAGTTTTTTTATGAAATTAACAGTGTTATATCTTCTTTAAATAATAATAACCAAAATAAGAAATAAAATAAATTTAAAGACCCAAATCAATAATTGAAAAAAAAACTTAAAAGAATTAAAAGTTTTATTAATCTTAAGATACATACACACATTTGTGGCCAGACTACAATTCTGTGCTTTGAAGGGCGAAGGTACTTAGTGCGTTTTAGTTAATTTATTTAATTTAAAAAAATTAATATGCAACTATTCTTCTTTTAATGAAAATCAATCTCAGCCATTCGTGCATTTCTATATATAAAATCAAAGGTGAAAAGTTAGTAATTTATAAATGACTTCCATGCTTAAATAGAACCGTACGCGTGTGTGTCCATCATTATGTCATTATATTATTACATCATGTCCGGGGTTGCGTGAAACTGTGAATTAATTTCTTGGTCTGGATGTATTTAAAATCCTCACGCTGGTTTTCTTTGCTTTTCATTTTCTTGGAGGGGGGAAGCTGAAATTTCAAATTAATTAATATGTAGAGGTACAACAAATTATGTCAAGATCGGCGAGTCCCTACTACGATCTGGTTTCTATAGAAAATCCATGAGGAAACGGACAATGTGATGCATTGGATTTAGCGGAGAGATTCACCTCTTTTTTATTTGTTTCTAGATATTATGTGGGTATGTATTTTTATGAAAAGTTTGTGCTTTAATATATAATATGACTCTGCTTATATTGTATTAAATATACAATCTATTTTTAATACAGTCATTATACATTGTAATTGTTCTTTTAATAAATTTTGTCAGTCTTTTCTAGAACAAGACAACCTTTGTATTTGTTGCAGATGTTTTCTAGAATAAAAGTATATACATTAAAACCCAAATTTAAATGGCTTAATATAATATAAGGTAAAATAATTAAAGGAAAAAAAGAGAAAAGAAACAAAAGTCATTCCCGTGAACCTCACAAAAAAATAAATCCTATCTATATCTCTCTCTTTTTCTTTAATTTGAACAAAACATAATTTAAGAAGTCCTGATTATTCTTTGAAAAACAAGAGAAAATATTGATTAACAAGTCATAATATTGAAATCATACTGATGCACAATTAACAATTGCATATCTAGATGTTAGTAATAACGGTTTCACACGGTAAGGATTTGTACTAGTCTAGGCAAGAGGTGGTAATACTTTTAAGTTTCCCAATAAACCCAACAATAAAATATAAAAAATAAATGCATAATATGTAATAATTTATATGAAACTAATTTGAATAAAAAACAATAAAACTCAAGATATAAAATTGGAAGTGAAATCAAACACTCATTCAATGTGTCTATATATTTTCATACAACAGAAGTTTGAGACAAATAAAATGTATCTATAGATTTTACTTATTTGAAGAGTTTATATTTTATTGAATTTTATCAAAAATATTACAACGCAATTTTTCCCAGAGTAAAACTTTCAAGATGATGAAGTTAAAAAAACATGGACAAAAATTTTACTTTCAAGAAATTTTATGGCTTATGAACAAAAAAAAATTACAAAAACATATATATCTAATTTCAAGAGAAAATATTTATCATTTTTCATCCATGAAGCAAATGCATGATAAGTTATTTTAATAACAAATTTGTATTTTTTTTTATAATTTATTACTTGTGTGCAAGTTAGAAATATAAACACTTTATTTTATTTTTGAACTTGTTATGCTGGAAAAAATTAAAAATTATTTGAAAATTATTAAAATAAAAATATATTAATAAGATATCTTAAAAATACAATTTAAAAATATTCTCTAATTTATGATATGGAAAGTTGAAAAAAAAAATTACTTGGAAAGATAAGCATGGCAAAAACGACATTTAAAAGGCTATTGAAACAAAGCATTGTGGGCTCACTATACCATTGATTTTACCGCTTCCTAAACAGTAAAAGTTATTATTTCTTTTATTTTAATTAAATTTCATTTCTAATAAAATAATTATTTATTTTTAAACTAACTTTATTTTTTTATATTTATTTTTATTAAATATCTTACAATAAATATAAAGTCATTTATTAATAAGAATACTTTTAAAAAAAGATAATGATTACATCTCAAAAGATTAAAAATATCTTATATTTTTTAACATCAAACTCTTTAAAAAATGTTTTACATTTTTTAATGAGGAGAGTATATTTTACTATATATAAAATAGTAAAATTTGAAGTATTGAAAATTTTAGGAGTGAATGAAGTTCTTGATTCAACTTAAGTTTCAAATGTTAATTTTTAAAAATTTAAAAATTCAACTCAATTTAGCAAATTTTTTATAATAAATTTACAACTTATTTTATATATGCTAACATAATTAAAAAATAAATAAATTTTATTTTTTTTTTAAAATTTAAAATATAAGTTATAAATTTATTACAATAAAATTATAAAATAAAAATAATTTATACTTAAAATTTAAATTAAATTAATTTATCTTTTGAGATCCTGATATCATTCTCCCAAATTTTAGCGGAAAAACAATAATATTTGGTCCCCAGAGATATTGCACATGACATTGGCAGTCGAATTAATTAATTATTGATGATTTGGCCTTATAGAGCAATGAATGAAGATCGAAGGGAGCAGGAAAAGAAAATGAGCAGACAAGACAAAGACTGGTGGAAGACCACCCCCCATAACAATGGTGTCTTCGTGTTGCGGGGAAGGACTTTAAAATTATACTCCTTTTGTTTAAAAATATAAATTATTTTTAATTTTTTAAAATATAATTTTTTTTAAAATATTTCTATTAATTATAATTTTATATTTATTATAAAATATTTAATAAAAATAAATATAAAAAAATAAAATTAATTTAAAAATATTTTATATTTTTTAAGTAGAAAGAGTAAATTTTTTGCAAAAAGAGTTTCTTAACGTATTTATGATAATGAATCACTGAAAATCAGATTTCTTTCTATGAAATCCTTATTTTTAAATTGTTCAAAAAATTATCATCTTGAGATCTTTTTTATGAAAAACAAAAGTTATTTTCTTCTTTTTTTAGAATCATAAAATTTATTTTTTAAAGTAAGTATCCAAAGAGGGAAAAAAAAAAGAGGCAATCCGGTCAGTGCAGTTGAATGATGAAATCTGAAAGGGGCGTGGCATATGAATGCGGCAGACTAGCACCACGTGGTGGACTTTAAGCTAAATTAATAGCTATGCCTACCATTCTCGATCTGAATCCTAAGTCAACTAGACAACAGCCTCTCCACCCCTATATATAAAAACACAGGCAGAGTGTCGTGTTGGGACTTTATTAACAATCACAGTAATGATGAGGTTCTTCACCTTCATCGCCCTTCTCCTTTTGCTAGTTCCTTCCAACGCTGCAATATCTTCTCAAATGGTCGAGACCCTCCCTGGCTTTCCTGGAAAACTTCCCTTCAAACTTGAAACTGGGTTAGCTTTCCATTCTTCAAACCCCTTCACTTCTTTCTTTCCCTGCTCTTAAACTAGCTATTTCATCTTTTAAATCTAATATACCACTTGCACTTTTCCCATAAATTTATTTTTTAACCTTTTTTATATTAAATTATTATTTTGTTTAAACTGTATTTGTTGACCCTATAACTTTATATAAATTTTTTATTTAATTTCTCAATTTTATCAAGTATTTTTTTCAATCCTCTAACTTTGATATTGTTAATTTTAAATGATTATTTTTTTACTCAATTATTGTTAATTAAACTTAATATATCATCATTTAAAAATATTTTATTAATATTTAAAAGTTTCATGTATAGATATTTTGTGATGAAACTAACATGACTAAAAGAACACTTATAAAAATTAAAGAATTAGAATAAAATTTTGTATAAAATTAAAAAACTAATGAAATACTTCAGCCTTATTATTTTCGATGACTTTAATTATTATTTCTCCCTTCTCAATTTACAAGTCACATGTAACAATAGGCTTCATTAAATATAGTCTATAATGTTAATTTTTCTATAAACTTTTAAAATTAACCTAAGGGAGAGGAAAAGAAACTAGAGGTAATATTGAAATACTTATCATTAATAAAAATTTTATTGTTATTTAATAATATAAAAACTTTAGTATGTTTACGGAGGAGGAAGAACTTTTATTAGCCTTTTAGGAAGAACTGAACTCACGTGGTTGTTATTAAGTTTGTTAAATGACGTTGACAACTTGATAAGGTATGTTGGGGTTGGGGACTCGGACAGCGTTCAACTATTTTACTACTTTGTTGAATCGGAGAGGGATCCTGATGAAGATCCTCTCATCCTTTGGCTCACCGGTGGTCCTGGTTGTTCTGGTTTCTATGCCTTCGTCTATGAAGTTGGTGATGTTCTCTTCTTCCCCATTCATAACAACTTTCATTTCCCACTTAACGCGTCGTTAATCACTACATCACGCTCATTTTGCCCTGTTTCTCCTTCTCTGATGCCAACATTTCTAGACATTTGTCCTCTGATTCTTTCACAGGTCCCCTGTTATTTGATTATGCCAAATCTAGTAGCGGCAGAGTCAAAGTTCCGGTGCTGAAATTGAATCCATACTCATGGACTAAAGTATGTCTGAGAGACGCTTCCTTCACAATCTTGTCTCAATATTTAAGTGATTTGATGATCGATGCAACTAATTTCTCTTGATCTCACTCTTATTTCTAAATTTTCTAGGTATCTAACATTATCTTCATCGATGCCCCCGTTGGCACTGGGTTCTCCTATGCAACAAACTCGGAGGCATATGTAGTCGATGATATATTATCCGCTACACAAACCTCCGAATTTCTGAGGAAGGTAACTGATCTCTCAACTTGCACACAACATATTTGATGAAATGGTCATGTGTGATCGTCCCTTCATATTGTCATAGCTCCTTCCAATACGTGATTAACGGCCTAACATGCAATTGAATGCAAACTCCTAACATCATGTTTTGGATGTTCATTTTCAGTGGCTGTTATCTCATCCCCGGTTCCTGAAGAATCCTTTGTACATCAGTGGTGATTCATATTCAGGCATCATTGTCCCTATCCTTGTCAAGATGATATCTGATGGTAATGCATGACATGAACTAATACTAGGACTACTGATGGTTGTTTTATAACTTTCTACATTCATACCAAGATAAAAAGAAACAGCTTAGCTTCTTGCTTGTTCTGCATTCAATAATGGAACACGACTTGCTACCATATTTAGAATTTGATCTAAAGTCTGCTCTTCATAATATATCATCAAATTTCAAGGGCGGCATTGTATGATTCATGAATATCTAGAGTAGTATCGTACGTCCAAACTTCAGGACGACAAGGTTTCCATATTCTGTTTTTTGTTTTCTTCGATCTTATATAGTTTTTCCTTTTTTCTTCATTTTTTGCAGATAATGATGCAGGTATTAAGCCACGAATGAATCTAAAGGTGCATCTTTCATTGATTCAATTTGATATGTGTAAACTTGAATCCATTTTTTCCCTCGTTATTAATACCAGGTCATGAAGTTTCTAATATTGTTCTTCCAAAATAAGGTATATTCATATTTTCATCAAATGAATGCAGGGTTATTCGATAGGAAATCCAATAACGAATGAAGTTGTTGATGAGAACTGGAGAGTTCCATTTGCACAAAGATTAGGACTTCTACCAGATAAACTTTATGAGGTTGGTTGCCACTCAGTCGCCTCTCTGTCCTGAAAATTTAATAGTAGTTTTCTCTTTTCTGACATATTTCATCTTCCTCTTACCGTTCAAGTCAACCAAACGAGATTGCCGTGGTAAATATGTAGATGTAGATCCAAGCAACGCTGCATGTTTAGGGGATCTTGAAGTTTATACGCAGGTAATTTGTGCATGCATGTCCATTATTCTTAATTCTTTGTCACACAGGCCTATTATGGATGCTATCAAGTTTGGTCCTCTTGATGACCTTTATCAAATTCTGCAGTGCACTAATATGCTCAATACTGCAAACGTATTAGAACCTAATTGTGCTCGTGATTCGCCAAAACCAATGGGACGGGACCAATCAGCATTATCCAAGTGGGATCCTAATATCATCGAAGAGGATTCCTTGGAGCTTCTTTCCACCCTCTATAATTCTGAACCATGGTGTCGGGTAAATTCACTAATCGATGACACAAATAATGTGCACTCTAACAAAGCATATTCATATGAATCTTGGTGGCAATTAATGCAATTCATATTAATCGTTTCATAAAATTTATCTCTCTCTGGAATCGATTAATTTGGTAAAAGCCAGCACTAAATCTTAAGTAGAAGCAACAAAAGAAGTGGAACTCTTAGATTCCATCTGTAAAGAAACTACTATTATGTTTTATCCTTTTCGAATTATGGTTAGTGTGCACTTTGTACTTTTCTTGAATCCAATAGGAATGATTTGAAAATAGGAAGAAAGATTCAGTTCACATTTCTTCACTGATGAAGTGGTTGACAGCAGAGGTAATACTTTGTGATAAACTTAAAAGCAGTACTGTAGAATCCAAAATCGCTAATGCAAAACTATGACTCTGTGCTTATCTAATTTCTAGATGTAGTCAATATGCAATTTGAGCATTTTTCTAAATGGAAGTATTGTGAAAATTCAGGCACGTGACTAATATGCTCATCATTTTTTTTGTAGCCATATAACTATGTCTTCTGTTATATTTGGGCTAATGACGAAAATGTTCAGAATGCCCTCCACGTTCGGAAGGTAGAGTGAGTTTAATTACAATAATTCATAGTGACAGATTAACCGAAATCTATTTTTTAAAAAGAATAAAAAAAATAAAAATATTCTGAAATTTTTATATGAGGCTTGGTACCCTAATTTTTTTTTTTTTAAAGCAATGTCATTTCGAGCTTTTAAAAAGAGCACAACAGTACCCTACGGTTAACCGTATCAAACATTTTACTGTTGACTCCCATGGTTTGACCAAAGTCTTGCTCATGTCACTATTTTCTTCTTCCTCCTCATTCTCCTCCTTCTTCGTCTTGATCTTCTCGGAAAGAACTCAAGAAGGAAGAAAGTGGCTGACGAAGACCAGCCGAGCTTGCACTTTGCCTTCCCCGGCACCAATAGACAGCTCAAGTTCGGTTTCCTCGCTGTTATTGCTCGCACCTGCCGCATCGCTGTGCAAGAGGGATTGGAAGTGTCTTCATCGCCCACTTTCTTCACCAGACGTAAAATTCTGGTCAAACCATGGGGGTCAACACTCAAACTTTTGTTTGGGTTAAGTGCAAGTTATTATTGCATTTTTTTTAAAATTTCAGGATGACATTATTCGAAGAAAATTTAGAAAGGGCGACAGTTAGGTCCTAAAATAATAAATTAACATCAGTTAAGTTTCTCATAAATTTTTTTACAAAATAAATTATAAATATTAATTTAAACAATTATAAATAAAAATTTATGTTACAATGTAAAAATTACATTTGATATTTTAATATTTATTTATAATGAAAACTCTTAAATTTGCAATAATTTAGATTAATATTTTCAACCTACTTTTCAAAAAAATTTATTAGAAATTCAATTAGTATTAATTCATTATTTTGAGACCTAACTATCATTTTTTCAAAAATTTAAAATGCTAAGCGTTCTTCACAAAAAAAAAATTGGGACATTTTTGCCAATTATTATTATTTTTTAATGAAACCAAAATCTATTTTCATAATGACTTATTGGGGCAAAAAATAAGATATCAGGGAACCAAGAAATGGTGGCCAAGATGCAATAACAGTTTAGCTTACACAGAGAGTGTGCCAAGTACTGTCCCATACCATAAGAACCTTACAAACAAAGCCTTTGCAGTTCTGATTTACAGGTAAACGATTTTATTAACTAATTGCAGGTCTTTGTAATCAGATTTGTTTGATGTCAACACATGACATTCAAATATTTTTTATGATTTATCTTTATATATAAGCTATAACAAAATTGTTCATAAAATCAATAACTTGTTTCTTAAATTTCGTATGATGCAAGGAACCCAGAAATGATTTTTACTTCACAAAAAATAATGTATGCAATATGTATTATATTTTGATTATTTTTTTAATTCAAGAATTATAAGAGACATTTGTCATCTCTAAAAAAATAATTATATATGTTTATCTAGTTTTCATTTTTGTGGGTGCAGTGGAGATCATGACATGGTTGCTCCATACGTGGGCACCTTAGCGTGGGTAAGGTCTCTGAACTTGACAGAAAGTAGCAAGTGGAGACCATGGTATGTCCAAGGACAAGTTGGAGGGTATGTTACTTCAACTTAATTATACCCTCTCTGCTTTAGGAACAGATTTTTAAACAAATAATAGTAATTAATATGAATTCATTATGAATATGATATATTTTTTGGCTTGTTCTGCAGATACACAGTGGAGTATACACATAACAATAATTACAGCTTAACATACGCGACAGTGAAGGCAATGCTTAGAAGAACCAATCTCAAATTTATTTTATTTGTTCCTAAACATCATTAATAATTATTGATGTATCTGAAAGTTTAAATAACTTGTGCAGGGAGCAGGTCATACAGCGCCAGAGTACAAACCTGAAGACTGCTATGCAATGTTTACAAGGTGGATTGCTCGTTTACCTCTCTGATCATTCAAATGTAATTTTAAGATCCCCACCTTAATCTATCTATGTAATAAAGTTAGGTGATACTTTGCATTATTTTGCTTTCTAGCTATCAAATATGGGCTTCAGACTACGAGTATTACAAGATGGAAAATGAATTGCCTTGCTCATTATATTATTTGCTTGTTTTATATTGCAGAGAATTTTGCTCAAGAATTTAGTGTAAATTCTCTTACAGTAGATTTTAATACATACTCTATTTCTTATAATTATAGGTTTTGAAATGTTCTTTTCTTGCTAAAAGTAGAAGAAGAAGAAATCACTATTATAAATAAAGGTTTTCATGTCGCTTTTTTAAGACTTTTTACATCATTATCATGAGGGTCATAAATCAAGACAACTTAAAAAATTAACTTATCCACATTACTATTATTATGAACATGAATAAGATAAACCACATTGCTTTTCAAAAGGAAAAAACATGATTTCTTCAAAAAAACACGTTACTTTTTTTATCAAGAGAGACTTGATTTCTTAAAGAAACTATGTCACTTTTTCTTAAAAACTGACTTGGGTAATAGACGTTTTACATCACTTTTTTTTTTAAAAAAAAAAGTTGAAGTAAAAAGTTTAACATTTTTTAAAAAATAAGATTTTTTTATTAAAAATGATTTAAAATCACCATTAACCCAAAAAAATGCCCACTTATTAAAAAATAGATGAAGGAAAATAACAATTGATTAAACAATTTTGCTAAAAAAGAGATATTTTATTAATGGAATGATTAAACTACAAATTAATAATGTCATGAAACACAAAAAAAAAATCATAAACATAAACATTAACAAACAAGTCCAAAAATCTAAATGTAGAATTCAAAGTAAGCTGTCTTGTTTATTTGATGCAAAACAAAATAAGTCTAGAGGTACTAAGAAGCAAATTCAAAGTAAACTGAATCCACTTCAATGATACATTAGGGCCTAGGTTATAAGGATTGGAGAAATTATATGTCATTAAGAGTATGTTTGGTTGGGGAGGAGGGGAAACCTTCCAAAACCTCTCCCCTCCCCAAAAATTTGGGGGGGGGGGAGCCCCCCTCCCCTCACCTCCCACTCCTCCCCCTCCCTCTCCCTTCCCTCCTCTCCCCTCACCTCCCTTTCCCTCCCTTTCATTTCCCCCCAACTAAACATACTCTAAAGAAAATTCATCTACAGCTTCACTCAAGCTCTCCAAATATTTTGGACCAAAGTTATGCTTTTAGAGCTTCTCTAAAGATGGCGAGCCTATCACATAAATCAACTGCAACTGCTACTATTATCGTAAGGTCTCTTCATAGGCAATGAATCCAAAATATTCTAAGATATTAGATGGTTTATAAAAAAAAAAAAAACTACAACTGTTGTTCAATATTTCTGCCTAATGCAGAATGCAAAGTTTCTCCAAGGTGTTTTATAAACTACAAAGCCAATACTTGAAAAAAAGATAAAGCACAACATCAAGTACTATCATGAGCAGAATTTTGAACTTTGTCCTATGGCAAACATAATTGTTAGGCTTACACTAATGCAAAATATACATTTTATGATCCTCAGTCTACAACACTTTTTGTAAAAGTGACATAAAAATAAAGGCAATGGCAATTTTATAAATAAGTATTGAATATATAAGACTATCAACGTTATTTTTTTTTTTAAAAAGCAATGTGAATTGTAAAAAATAAATTATTTTAAATTATTAAATTTTAGACATTTTTCACATCAATCATAAAAAATATTTTAATTTATTAATTTATGGACATTTTCTACATCATTTTTTTTAAAAAAAACAACGTGGATAAGTTATACATGTTGCTTTTTTAAAAAAGCAACGTGAGTTATATAAAATAAATTATTTAAAATTATTAATATTTAAACATTTTTCACTTCACTTTCTTAAAAAGTGATGTGAATTTCAGTCAATTTTTTTAAATTAGTTCGAACTCTTTCCTCACTTTATCATTTTGTGTTTTGAAACCTAACCCTTCTCTCTTTTTCCCTTCAACAACATCACGTCTCTCTCCTCTCCACTACAGATCTCTCCTCTCCTGCACATAATAACTCTCTCTTCTCCTTCCCACTGCATTGAGACCCATAGCATTTAAATCTACGGCCAACAGACTGAATCGAGACCTAAGGCCAACATTCTACAAACAACTCTCTCTTCTCCTCCCCTCCTCCTCTTTCCCCTTAAACAATATGCATTATAGGTCTTACTAAAAGACAAATTAAGTCTAATAATGCACAAATCTGCAACAAAACTATTTATGTTACCCAAACTATTTATGTTACTCAAAATATTTGAAAATAGCTCTACTAATAAAAAAAATAAGTTTTCGATGGGGAAAGAGAATCACAAGAAAGGTAAGCTATGAACATTCTACAACAGCTAGTCATTAACTATCAGAAACCAAACATGATCATAGGAACAAATTAAAACCTAAAATGCAAAAATCAGCCATGATTATCTTGTTTTAGAAAACATCCATTAGATTGACAACAGCAATTTGCATAATTTCTTATGTTAAAAGGTTTTGCATTTCCTGAAGATGCAAATATATGATGTTAGAATATGCCACAGATAAAGGAGACATGTACCATTGAAATTACAAAACCTTTTTGCAATTTTGAATTATTATCATCCCTCTTTAAATTGAGTTAACAATCAAGTTTGAATAAACTACTACTAACTAGAAACTAAGAAGATTAATACATGATTTACTTTTATCTTGTTGGTTTGTACACAAGGGCAAAGCCAAAACGTAACGCATTCCTGGAACTCCACAAGCACGCAGAACCAATGAATCACCATCAGAATAAATATTCACTAATACATAACAGAATAATACTCCTAATAATACTCGATACGATTTCAATAAATTAAAATGGCAAAACCATAATTAGAATTCTGTGTAATAAAAAAATCAACTAGATTTAATTTTAAACCTAGCACCTTCGTAAATGAAGTCGCAATACTTTATCCAAAAACTAAGAAACTGATATGCATTCTACATCAGTTCATATTGTTAATTAGTGCCACAAGGATAATTTTTTGTAAGAAGAAGCTTAGTTGTATTGGTGGGTGGTTTGATTAGAGTGGGACTTGGGAAAGTGAGGTGGGAATTGGAGGATGTGTTAGGACTCTTGTAGAGCATGGGAATAATAAGTGGCCGAACTTGAATGCCAAAGCATAAGACAAGGCAAGCCATCAGAATATAAAATACAACAATAATACAAGGATCTATTACGCCAGTTTATTGATCATCCGCGAGGAATCGAGGGCAGCTAAGATGAGCAAGATTCCTAGGCTAGATTCGAAAGAGGCATTGACGATGGTGAGCCGACTGAGAGCTGCCTTTGATTCCGGCGTCACTCAGAGTCATCAATGAAGAGCTTTCGAGCTTAAAAAAGGGACCCAACTCACAGAGGCAGAGCAAACGCCGAACACAAAACCACCACAAGGATTCAAATATGCAACCCAAAACACCAGTACCTGACTAGATGACTCGAGGAATTGGTTCATAGAGCAATTGTGAAGTGCAGAGGTAATAGGCACAATCATATGTAGAAGTAGGAACCAGAAGCGACTGCCAAAACCCTATGAAAACACTAGAATCAACGTCCTAATAACCGAAATCACATTGCATACCAAAACAAAATCTTCACAAATCAAAGTACAAAACTGAATTGAAGAGACAACTAGAGAGAGCGAGGTGAGGAGCGGCGACGATGGTGAGTTCGATGATGACGTTATGTCGCTCTTTACACGTGATTTATTAAAAAAAGAGAAAAATAAAAATTTTTGTTTGAATTTATCACGTCACCTTTATATGGAATGACGTGGTTATATTTTTAAAAAATGACTTGGATTTTTCAATTTTTAAGTTATATTTTTAAAAAGTGACATAAATTAAACTATTTATTTATAAACGTGCCACGTGGATCTACATCACTTGTAAAAAAGCATCGTGAACACAATTAATCGTGTCATATTTTTTCAAAAAAGACACATAGATATATGATTTTAAGTTCACCAATTGATTATGAAATCATCATCGATTCAACTTTTTATATCTTTTTTTAAAAAATAATGTGAATTGAGGATAGTAAAATATATATTTTATAATAATGAATGTTCATAATAAAATGGTATATTTTATTTAAACAAATATGATTTAGAGGTACATACACTAACCTTCGTTATATTTTCTTTTAATTATCGGAACTTCTACTTTATTTTTAAAACCTGAAATTTTAGGAGTAGGAGAAAATAGTAGCTTTCTCTAAAAAAATCCAAAAAATTGAAAAATCTGAGAGAAAATATTATGTTTCTCACAATTTTCTTTTATTCTTTTCATAGTTTGTTTTTACTAGCCGAAGTTCAAAAGAAAGATTAAATGAGGAAAATTTTGAGAGAAGTGCTCAAGCCTATTTCTGTGATATTTTTTTTAAAGAAAAATCACTATTTTCTTATGGTGACCACTCCAAATTAAAAGTTATGTTAAATTAAACGTATCTCTCCTCCATTTTTTATATTAAATTTTCATCTATCCAATAATTAATCCACCATTAACTCACTAAATGCAACTTTTTGTTTTATTAAAATATCCTTCCTTAACATACGCCCTCCAATCCTAAATATGAGTTATTTTAGAAGAAATTCGTAGTCCTAAATAGGTCACAATGACATACTGGGTATTAAATGTTTTCCCGAAAAGAACCTTATTTAATGAGCATAGAAGGAGTATTTGACATATTGATATGTTAAGCAAGAATAAAAGTGAAAACGTGTTTAATTTTAAGATCAATTTAATGGATGGATAGTTAATTTTCCTTGACTGTGATAAAATAATTAAAAGCTACTTATATTTGGTACATCCATAACTATTATATCACGTAAGAGTGAGTGTTACAGTCACTAAATAATTAATATTATATCCATTATATAAAATTAGTTGCAGATGAGTACTAAAATAATTTAATACATAAATTTAATTTTAAAAAAGTCTCTTGAAATCTTAGTATTATTATCACATTTTGCGAAATTAAATTATCATTTTTCTATTTTAGAGGAATTTATCTATCATTTTTTCTTTTTAATATTTTGCTTTTATTTATTTTGGTATTAAATTCTATTTTTTCAATAATCAGTTTTTAATATCTTCAGGACCTATCTTTAATTACTTTAATACTAAAAATATTAAAAATGAGTATTATAAATAAGATAAATGGACAAATTATCTTTAAATTTTAGATTCAATAATACCATAAACTTGAATTATTTTATTGTGTAAATTATTTTTTTTAACTTTTAAAAATGATGCAACTTAATCCTTACCATAAATATAAATTAACTTTGACCATTAATTGATAAAAATGACAGAAAAAAATTTAAAAAAAGATTAAAAAATGCAATGAATGACCCAAAAAGTGCCAAAAAAATTATAGAAAATGAAAAAAAAAATTAGTCTTTCTCTTTAATTTTTGAAATCCTTTTTTTGTTATTTTTCAATCAACTAAAGGTAAAAATTAATTTCTATTAATAACAGGGGTTAAATTACATTATTTTTAAAAGTTGAGAGAATATTTTATATATTAAATGACTTTAAGATCTATAAAGTTTCTAAAAAAATTTTTAATTGTTTTTTCTTTTTAATATGTCACTTTCAAGAAGGCTTTTATGTTTCAAATGTCATTTTTTGTTCCCCCCTCTTTGCGAGGTGAAGGTAGAGGAGGTTGCGAATTCATCTACCATTTCATTTATCTATTTAAAGAGAAGATTGAGATTGGAATCCCCAATTTCATGACTGGTATGATTTTGGAAAAGGATCATTGAAGATAATTAATTCCTCCATAGGATTAAATAATTTTAATATTATTTTGTAAGATTCAAGGACTTACCTTTGTTGTGAAAAGACAAAACTACCCATCATGTATATATTATATACTCTTTTAACAACAACTCTCTATTCACATTTTAGTAACAATAAATTCTCTTATTAAAAAATTTAAAAAATTAATTTAGTAATATAAAGGAATAAGTGTTGTTATTCAGCGAACAAGGCCCCCTTCAAGAAAAAATAAATCTCATTTCCCTTTTAGCGATAATTAATTTTCTTATTAACAATTATAAAAAATTAACTTAGTGGTGAAAAAGAATAAATGTTGTGATTCGGTGAACAAGTTCCTATTCAAACAAAGAAAGTTCAATTTATATTCCAATAACAATCAATTCCCTTGTTAAAAACTTAAAAAAATTAATTTAGCAGATGAATTATTGTAATATAGTGAATAAGTCTCTATTTAAAAAAATTATAATTTTTATTTTAATAATAATTAATTCTCCAACACAACAAATATACATTTTTTTATATTTTTATATTTTTACGATAAATTTAAATTATGTTTATGTCCTATAGAGTAATATAAGAATTATTTAATCATATCATGTAATTAACTATCTTTTGTGGTCCTTGATTGTGATTTTCCTATGATTTTGTTCCCTCCAAATCACATCATCATTAGACGACACGCTAATGCCATGCGGACGAAGGTGAATTGCAGGATGTGGGGTGCGGTGCTCAGCAGTCGGTCACGACAGGAGTGCTCGTCTTTACTGTCTTGAAAAAGGAGCCGCAAATTTGTAAAGACATATACTCCCTCTGTTTAATGTAAGGTATTTTTTAAAAAATTAAATATTTTAAAATATAAAATATTTTAATTTTTTAAAATGTAATTATTATTTTTTTAAATAATCCTGTTAATAATAATTTTATATTTATTATAAATATTTAATAGAGATAAATATAAAAAGATGTGGTTAGTTTAAAAATAAATTATTATTACTTTATTAAGGGTAAAATTTAATTAAAAATATTTTATATTTTTAAATGAAAAGAGTAAATCAAAATACTAAACAAGTGCCTAAAAAATAAATACTGTCATTCTATTTTTAATAGTTATTGCATGTCTCTATTTTTAATGCCATGGGAATTTTTTTTTTTACTGCTATGGAGCTTTTTTATCATAATTACAACAAATAAAAATATTAACATTTATTATATATAAATATTTTTTATAAATAATAAGATCATTATTGTCATTGTGAAATTAATAGTTTTCCTTTCTCCTATTTTCCCTCCTTTATCCAAGTACAGAAAGAAAAAATTACATATTTCTATTTTCTCTCCTCACACTTTTTAAATTTTAATGCATCCCCCTATTTATTTATTTATTTTGTTCGTTTGTGAGCAAAGCACTGCTATATGTAAATGTTGACGAGGAAAAGGGTGGTAGGTAAGTGAGGTATAGTTCGTTGGGGCCGTGAAAAAATGAATGTCGTGTCCATTTATAGACAAAGGACGAAGAAAACATTAATGCGTACGTGCAGTGTGTGATCATCGTCCCTGGCAACGCTCTGTATCTGTGACTGTGTTGGGCCTCACACTAAAATTGATAATATATCTACCATTCTCCATCTCATTCCCCTCTTCTGGGAAGCAGTCAACTGCCTCTCTACCCCGACCTCTATATAAAGTGATAGGCATATAGTGTTGTGTTGGAACATTATTAACAAACACAGTAATGATGAGGTTCTTCGTCTCCGTCTTCGTCTTCGTCTTCGTCTTCATCGTCCTTCTCCTTCAGCTGGTTCCTCCTTCCAACGCTGCAATATCTTCTCAAGTGGTCGAGACGCTCCCTGGTTTTCCTGGAAAACTTCCCTTCAAACTTGAAACTGGGTTAGCTTTAATTTCCATTCGTTCTCTTCCGTTTCTTTACGTCATTTGGTGACTTTTTGACTACTACTAGTTTGACATTATGATTTTCGGATGAAGAAGGATGTAATATGAGGAAAATCTCTTTCACGTCCCACACAAAAAATTTTAAATATAAATTTTTTTTATAAAATCACAAAATTATTCTGAAAATAACATATCCTTCGCTTTTACTAGTTAAAGTTGTCGATCACATATTTGTTTATAAAATTGTTCAATTCACGCTTAAGTAACAATAATTTATAATTATCCAGCAGTAATTGACTATTTCAATAAAAAGAACATGGAATTTGAAAATAATTTTATAAGATTTTTTTTATTTTTAGATTACGTTTAGAATGGGTGTGTGTGTGTATTATTTTTTTTTTACCTGATATAATGGGTATATATAAAAACACATGTTTACAAATATATATATATATATATTTTTTTTGTTTAACATAGAAATTCAGAGATTCGACCGACAAAGGTTGAGTGTATTTGACAGTTTTTTAAAAAAAAAATTTCTAAACTCTTTCTGATATAAAAATTTATGGTGTATGGGTAAAAAGTTTTGGATCTTTTATTAGTGTCTTGGTCAATAGTTTTTTAATAACATCACGCTCAAAAAGCTTCATTTAGAAATTTGTGTGTATACAAAATATCTACAATGGTTATGCTTGCTGCATAAATATTTCAGCTGTGGCAAAAATTTAAAAAATTGGTAAAAATGCATCACACAAAATTTTATTTTGGTTTATTAATTTTTTAAAATATTTTTTAATACTTTAATTACAATACTGTTAGTTTCATTAATAAAAAATGCTGATATTAAACTTTTAAATATTGACATATTTAGGTTTTTAAAATAAATATAATTGATATAAAAATTATCATTTAATGATGTTAAGATTAGATAATTGAAAAGATAGAATAAACTAACTGAAACATTATCTAAAATTGGATGATCAAATATGTAGTTCTGATAAAAAAGATGTATTTATAAATAATTGATTAAGTGTGCGTATGCATATTTTTTTCTTAAAAAACATCGTTTAATACTACTGTATCTCATCATTACCCTTATCTCTTAACTGAATTTAAAGGGGCAGTGGATTTTTGCTTAGTAATTTCAGGTCGAATAAACATATAATAACTATGGGAATACAAATTTTCTGTCCACTTTATGAATCAATACTTCATATTTATTTTGGATCAAAAATTAAATTGTAACAAAAGATTCAGGACTTATTTGATAACTTATTCTGAACATAATTTTTTATTCTTCAAAATAAAAGAATAAAAAATTTATTTAATAACGTGTTTTTAAAAAGTATTTTAGATAAAAAAAAACATTATTCTGAAAAACAAAAAAATGAAAACAATTCTCAAATGTTTTGAGATTATTATTTTGGAGAAAAGGGGATAAAAAACATCTATTTTTATTATTTTTTTATTCTTAAAATTTGTTTTATAAAACATCAGTTTTTAAAATAATAAAATAAAAATAATTTTAAATAGTTCCTTACTATGTTCATGTACTTATGTTTTACTTTAAAGTGTCGGCAAAATAAATTGACTTTAAACTATATTTAATCTACATGATTTTATTAGCAATTTAAAAATTGATTCTGGGTTGTACGGAGTTAAAATTTATGAACTAAATTATAATCTAATCAATAATGGCCAATCTAATTAAAATAAAATATAAAATCGATAGTCTTATTATTCATAAACAATGAGTTGTACCACTTATTTTACACACTATATACAATATCCAATAGGCAAGAAACTACAAATAAATCATTAAATAAAATTTTTCTTTGAAGACGCGACGATAAAATTGTACTTTAGGAACAACTGAATTCATGGTGCTGTTATCAATTTTGTTAAACTACATGATCGACAAGGTATGTGGGAGTTGGCGACTCAGACAGTGTTCAGCTATTTTACTACTTCATTGAATCTGAGAGAGATCCTGATGAAGATCCTCTTGTGCTCTGGCTCACCGGTGGCCCGGGTTGTTCTGGTTTCTCTGGCCTCGTCTTTGAAGTTGGTAATTCACGTCTTCCCCTTAAAATGTTCTTATATTCACAAAATTGATTTTCTCCTTGAACGCATTCCTTGCTACGCCACACTTATTCTGGCCTCTTCCTCAATCTCCGATAGTTGTGTAATTACGCTTCCCATCAACATATGACATTTGTCGTCTGATCCTGTCACAGGTCCCCTGTTATTTGATTATGCCAAATCTAGTAGTGGCAAAGTCAAAGTTCCGGTGCTGAAATTGAATCCATACTCATGGACCAAGGTATGAGTGAGAGACACCTTGGTCAAAATTGCCTCAATAGTTCAAGTGATATGCGTCAATGATCGATTCAATATAATTTCTGATTATATCACTCTTATCTTTAAAATTTTTAGGTATCTAACATGATATTCATAGATGCCCCCGTTGGCACTGGGTTCTCCTATGCAACAAACTCAGAGGCATATGTAGCCGATGACACATCATCTGCCACACAAACCAATGAATTTCTGAGGAAGGTAAGGAAAAATTGTTCTTCCACAAGTATGATCCCACATCTTGCACACAATGTATTTGGTGAAATGTTCATGTGATCGTCCCTTAATAGCCTAATATGCAATTGAATGTTACGTCTAAATATAATGTTTTGAATGTGGATTTGCAGTGGCTGTCGTCTCATCCCCGGTTCCTGAAACATCCTTTGTACATCTCCGGTGATTCATACTCAGGCATCATTATCCCTATCCTTGTCAATAAGATCTCTGATGGTAATGCTCGACATGGATTAATTACTAGGACTACTGATGGTTGTTTTATGGCTGTCTACATTCGTTCAAAGATAGAAAGAAAACAACATAACTTCTTTCTTCTTCAACGTTTACCTAAGGAACAAGGCGCTGAGAGCGTAGCATATAAAAAATTTGAAGTGTGCTCTTCATAAAAGTCAAGCTCCACGAGCAGAGCAGCATAGTATTATTCATGAACGATTAGAGTAGTATCATCCAGATTTCAGATTAAATGACAAAGTTTCCATGTTCTCTATTTAGTTTTCTTTGATCTTATTTTGTATCTTTTTTCCTCTTCTTCCCCTTGATTTTTTTTGCAGATAATGACGCGGGTATTAAGCCACAATTGAATCTAAAGGTGCACCCTTCACAGATTCAATTTGATATGTACTTGAATTCGTTTTTTCTCATCATTTTGACCAGGCCGTGAAGTTTGTAATCATATTATTCGAATACAACGTAAATTTAATTTTAATTTGATTGATGGTTACAGGGTTACTCGATTGGAAATCCAGTTACAGATGAAACTGTTGATAAGAACTGGAGAGTTCCCTTTGCACACAGAACGGGACTTATATCAGATAAACTTTATGAGGTTTGTTACTTCTCAATCGCCGATGTGAACTGCAAATTTAATTGTAGTTTCCCTTTCTTGATGATGCATTTCCCTCTTTCTCATGTTGTTCAAGTCAACCAAAAGGGATTGCCACGGTGAATATATGGTTGTAGATCCAAGCAACGCTGCATGTTTAGGGGATCTAGAAGTTGTTACAGAGGTAATTTGTACATGTCCATTATCATTAGTTCTTTGTGTCACAAGCTCATGATTATGGGTATATATCATCAATTTTGGTCCTCTTGACGACAAATTTATTCCATTTTGCAGTGCATCAAGATGGTATTGATTCCTAACATATTAGAGCCTAATTGTGCTGCGGACTTGCCAAAACCAACGGAGTGGGACCAACCAGAATTACTCAAATGGGATCCTAGTATTGTCAAAGAGGAATCCTTGGAGCTTGTTTCTACCCCTGAGCATTCTGGACCATGGTGTCGGGTAAATTTCATGAATCTATAACCCAGTAATTTTCACTCTAATGAAGCATATTGATAGAGAATAATCTTGGTGACAACTTCAATTCATATTGATATTTTCATCCAAAATCTAGTCAAATGTTCATATTTGGAATCCATTAATTTGGAAAAGCCAGCACCAAATCTTAAATGGAAGCAACAAAAGAAGTAGAAATCTTGTTCCATCAATAGAAGCTGGAATTATTACGTTTTATCTTTTTGACTTATGATTAAGGTGAAATTTTCGTGAATTCAGTGAATGAATTAAAAAAAAAAAAACAGATTCACATTCACATTTGTCGTTTCTTCGTTTAAGTGGTTATTGAGTTTTTTAAAAGAGGGAATATTTTGTGATAAATCCAAGCTTTGTTGATTGTAAACACTAAATACTAAATGGAGGAAAAGGAATCTTAATCATGACATAAAAATCAAGATTTGTGATATTTATTATATTCTTGTAATTATTAATTTTTGTTTGGGGACACATGTTACATTTCAGACTATGGAATTTTACTTTTTTTTTTAATTCCATTTTATTCTATACACCAAATTAGCCCTTAAAAATTGTATAGCAAAATAGAAAACTGCTATTACGGTAAGGTTGTGTAATTTCAGATGTAGTCAATCTACAATTTGTGCTTCTTCTTCTGTTTTTTTAACTTTTTAATGGAAAGATTGTGAGAATTTCCTGAAACATGCAACTAACTTGCTCATCATTTTGTTTGTAGTTTTATAACTATGTCTTCTCTTACATTTGGGCTAGTGACGAAAATGTTCAGGCTACCCTCCACATTCGGAAGGTACGGTCAATTTAATTAATCAATACATTAATACTAACATACAATATAAAATTTATAAAGTATTATATTATTTATAAATTATTAATAATGTGGTTCACCTTAAATTTCATACAAAATATGGGGTTCATCTAAGAATTTTTCTACAAAATATAGCCCACAATCTAGCCACCGTAATTCATAGCAATGAATTAACCAAAATCTATTTCAGTAATGATCTTTCTTTTTCTTTCTTTCTTTTTTCGGGAAAAAAAAAACTCAAATCAGGGAACGAAGGAGGAGTGGTCGAGATGCAATAGGAGTTTAGCTTACACTAAGGATGTCACATGCAGTGTCCCATACCACAAAAACCTTACACACAAACCCTACAAAGTTCTGATTTACAGGTATATTATCTTCTTCTTCTTTTCTTCTTCTTGTTTTTTTTTTAATAAATATAAGCATACTTCACTAACACCAGCTTACTGCATTTAGCTTTTAGATATTTGTTATCAGATTTGTTTACCAAAGACATGGCATTTAACTTTTTTAATGAAATAGAAATGTGATTGTAAAAATTAGTATAACAGATTGCATTATTTATAAGTCATAGATAGTAGGAGTTTCTTCTTCCTTCTTGAGTTTCATACAAATGCGCCGGGAGTAAATTTATTGCATCAGACTTAATTTAATTTGGCAATAAATAGTTAATAATTTCAAAAACTGTTTAACATATTATGCTTTATCAAGCAATTTGATATTAAAAAGGGAGAATGGCATTTCCTTTCCTTGTAAGATAATTATTAATATTTTGGTTTCTATTTATTACAAAAAGTTAATAAAATATGACAGAACAGTCAATCTCAAGAATAAAGGCCATTTGCATGCTTTAAAGAATAGAATGAAATGGATTAAAAAAATAAAAATAAATTAAATTATCCAACCTCTCATGATAAACAAAAAAGACTCAATATCACATAATTCGAATGTAAGAATCTCCACACCCATAGCAAACTTTAAAAATTATGAGTTCTATCATCATGAATTATATTACCCATGTCCCTTTATAAATGTAGTTGATTTATCTCTTCTTCACATATATATTATTGTATTTTTTTTATATCTATTTTTATTTCTTTTTAGCAAGCGGGCCCTAGCAAAACCAAAGTTTCAATGATTCCCTTGTAGAGGAAGCCAAAGGCTATTCTCCCTATTGAAAACCTCTTATGCTTTTACTGGAAAGCTTTAGATAATAAATATAAAAAATAAGTTTTTATTTCGCAAAAAAAATTGCACAATATTTATCATATCTCATTATCCGTTTGAGTTTTTTTTTTTCATTCAAAAATTTTAAGAGAAATCTGTCATCTCTAAATAATTTCGTTCTAGTTTATTTTGCTTAGAGCCTATATGTTTATTCTATTTTATTTTTTCTTGCGATTGCAGCGGAGACCATGACCTGGCTGTTCCATACGTGGGTACCATGGCATGGGTGAAGTCTCTGAACTTAACAGAAAGTAGTAAGTGGAGACCATGGCATGTCCAAAGTCAAGTTGCAGGGTAATTACTTCAACTTAATAATCAAACTCTCAAGTTTGCAAGCAGATTCTTGAGAAAATAACATAGTATAATTATCTAAAAAGATGCCCAGATTAAATTCATTGTGAATGAAGAACGTATAAATCCTTGAGACTACACAAGTCTCACGAGAAAAAGTGAGTCTGACGCATAAATTTGTTTTGCAGATATACAATGGAGTTTACGCAGAACAATTATAGCTTGACATATGCGACAGTGAAGGCAATACCTAGAAACATTCTCAACTTTGTTCCTGAACAAAAAATATAATACTCGATAGATGTGAGAGTTCATTAACATTGTGGGTATTTGTGGGAATTCTGCAGGGAGCAGGGCACACAGCACCAGAGTACAATCCTATCCAATGCTTGGCCATGTTTTCTAGGTGGCTTGCTCGTTCTCCTCTGTAAATATTTCATGTGTAATTTCCATCCATTGCCACCTTAATCTATTGAATAAGTTTAGGAGACGTTTTGTGTTTTCAATCATGCCGTCCACTATGAGTGTTGTACTGTCTCAGTAAATTTGCAGCAAACAATCTTATGTTAGGAAGTTTCCTAGTGAGGAATGTGATAAACAGAATTGTTTGTTTGAATATGATGGAGAGAAGTTTGGATCCCACCTGGTCCAATTGAGATAAAGAAAAATGTTTGATTTTAGCATTTTTTTTTTTTTCTATTTTGTTTATGTTCTCTCTCATAAATTTTTTTTATAGCGTAGGTTTGTCGAGTGGGGGAATTGATGTTATGTAGAGGGGGAAATGATTGGATAATCGGTTTTTTTCATACCCAAAAAATTATGGGTTTCAAATAATTCATAGATGAAACTATCCACAGGGGTGAGAACTGGCCAAGACCAAGCTTTAATTCGATTGAATGAATGGACTTGAGCCTGCAACGCAGCCCTCAAGTTTGAGTCTGAAGCCTGCACTTTCTGGTGTCTTCTTCTTTTTTTTTTTTTAATTAAGGAACTCAATAAGCTACCAGCACATGAAATGAGAGATTTAAGACTAGAACAGAATCAACATATGCAAAAGCATGGATATTGCTGGAGAAAAAAGAGAAACAGTATGCTTAACTCAGCAATCAACAAATTATACAAAACTTTTGAGTGAAGGTCCTGAGGCGATTTGGGGATACCTAAATAGACAAGAAGATTGTTTTAATTAATTTAAATAATTGAGAAATACACACGCTTCGAAATTTAACAAGTGCTCCTACAACATTTAACTAAAAAATTATGTGTAGGGTCTAACTACAAATTTTTAACAATTGATCCTATAACATTTACGAGTTAAATTTAGAAATTTATCTGTAACTTTTTTCTTCTTCTTATTTTTACTTATCTGTTAGAAGCATAATTCACTAATTTCATAATACTATTTTTTTTTATATTAAACCCACTTGTACCTAACACATTAGGTGCCTGTATCCATAAGCATCAGAATGAAGAATGACGTAAATACTTGCTAAATTGGAGCAAGGAGTTGGAATATTAGGTGCAACAGCATTTCAGTTTAATGAACAGTAACTTCCCCATTTTCAAACATCGTTTATTATATGAAATTGAGAAAATCATAAATTTATCTTTATATATATAAAGGTGCCACTCTTGTTTTCACTCTTCCAATTTCTACAAATATGATAATATGATTTTACTTAACTGTGAGCATAATTAAAATTATATTGCAAGACAACATGGGAGATAAAAAGTTTTGTTCGTGCATTTTTTTTTAAAAAATTGCTTGTGTATGTTAAAAGGAGAATTAAGTATAACTTCTGATACAGATTATTTTCACGAGGTAAAAAACAAAACATAAAGATTTTCCCCTGGTCCCTCAAAAAATAAAATCCAATGATAATCTCTTTGAGGTCCCACATGAAGCCAGCCTGCCCAGCCAAACCATCCATCAATTTCAATGGATTATTTCGGGCCAAATATGTGTGTGGGGATTCTCTCCCTCATCGGTTCATTTCAAAAAAAGTGATCTGAGAATATGCATCAATATATGAATTCCACATCTAGGAAATCCTTTCCTAAACGGATACATCATATCATTCATATTTTGTTTAATAAAAATATATCATGTCATATGATTGTAAATATATATTGATTATGTTATTGATGAAGTGTGTGTGAGAAAAAAAAATTAAAGAGATAACTTATTTCAAAAATTAATTTTGTTGAATAAAACATAAAAGACGTGGTACATTGGGTCCGTGTAAAAATTTATCTTTGACATCTTATTGCATCTTATTACGATAACAATAATCAAAACTCCCCCCTTGAGATGACCCTATACTAGACCACAAGATGAGCGTAATATTAGCCTATGTGTTCATTTGCCCAGTGAAAAAGAAATTAAAAAAATTAAAAGGTTTAAGATTTAATCTGTTCTTCCAACTAAAAAAGGTGAAGGTTAATTTTTTATCAATTGAATGCATAAATCAACTATTTTAAAATATATTTTCTTACAAAATCATGATCGAAAGTATAAGGGTTGGGTTGGGTCAACAGATTCTTGCCCACTAATTTTAGAAAGAGCATTTTAATTTAAACTTTTCATGTTATGAAATAAGAATGCACAAATTTTTTGCCAACATAATTCAGATGCGAAAAGAGAAATATCGCAACCACAAATGTATTCCAAAAAAAAAAAAAAGTTCCAATCAAAACGACTATCAAACGGAGAGGCTGTGAAACTGTTCAACTCATCTTCCAACCTCATGGAGTTAGTTGCCAAACATTCTCCCATTTTCATCCCTCTCGTTTTGGAAAAAAGAGATACTTTTCACGTTTTCATTATCAATTTTATTAATTTTAATATAGGAAATTTCAAATATTTATTTAAATATTCACCTACTCACTTAATTATTGAAAAGTCTCTAAATTGAAGGAAGTGCATACAATTAGACTGAGGGAAAATTAATAATTTTAGATTTTTAACATAATTCAAATAATACGATTAAGTATTTTTTTAATATAAAATTAAGTATTGTTGAATGTTTAACTCAATATTTTTAATGGTATTAAAAATTAGACTAAATTGTAGACTTACATGAAATGTTTTTTAACAAAATTAGGAGGATTCATTGTATTTTAGAATATACTCCTCTATCCTAAATTATATGATAACTGTGAAGGAATTTTATTGTCTTAAAATATAAGACAATTTGAAAAAAATTATGTTTTATTAATAAAACTTTTCTAATATTAGCCTTCATCAAGTAGAGAGATAACTGAAATGATATTATAATGTAATTGCCAAGTGTCTAAGGATATTTTTCAAAATTTATAGTTTTATTTTAAAAAAATAAATTTGCAAAGTGTCATTGTTCTATTTTATTGGCATAAACAATCTTATTTTAAATTGTTTTATAATTTGACACTGATAAGTGCTTAATTGCAAAAGTGTGAGAACCTAGCATTAAAAAGCATACATTTTTGTTTTTAATTTTTTCTAATATTAAACATCAGCCTACTTGTATCTTAGGTGTCTATTTCATCCTAAAATAGCAGTGGCATCTTAAATTGAGTAGACCTACGGATGTTGGGGGAGAAGAGAGAGGGAAGAAGCGACTCAGCAATGAAGAAAGAAGTAAATTCTGCAAAATTGTAGCGTGGGGTTGGAACATTAGGTGCACCAGCATTTCAGTTTCACTCCCCAGTCTCAACTTCAAATCAATGTCTCCATTTAAGCGGCGTGCCGTTCAAAATGTGGCAACCTTCTTCTTCTCCTTCTCTTTCTTCTCCTCCTTTTTTCACTTCTGACATAGACGTTCGTATCCATTTGACTTTCAGATCTCTCATGAAAGGTGGATGCCTCTACCACCCTGACCCTCCTCCGTCAATTAATGTACTGTCCAAAGTACAACGTCGCTCATTATCTCACACACCATCAAGCTGCTTCAGTATAATTCAGTATCGTTCTAATTCTGCACATACATAATATATCAGAAGAGTAGCGATCGCAAGTGAGACTGCATTGCTCAAGCTGATATACCTATGGCTACTACTCACTGCAGATTGTTTTGGTGTTTGCTCCTCCTTTTGCTCCTCTCCAGCTCTGTTTCTTCTCAAACCATTGTCAAGACCTTGCCTGGTTTTGAAGGGAGCCTTCCTTTCTATCTTGAGACTGGGTTAGTACCTAAATCATCGTTTGGTTCTGTTAATGTGAGATTCATGTTTGTTTGAGGTTTTAGGGTGTTGCATGGTGTGTTTCAGGTACATTGGGGTAGGGGAACAGGATGAGATTCAGTTGTTTTATTACTTCTTCAAATCAGAGAGGAAGCCAGATGAGGACCCTCTTGTGCTCTGGCTCCCCACAGACCCTGGTTGCTCTGCTCTCTCTTCTATCCTGTACGAGAATGGTGTGTTCTCTCACTCTCAGCCTACACTATCCACATTCCCTCTTCTCCCATTTCCTTGTGTGTGTGTGTGTGTGTGTGTTTTTCAATGAAAACCAGCCGGCATTTCAAGTTCTATCAGACTGACTAATTCGAATTAGATTCCAGATAAGGGATGTGTAGCTTTTTTTGAAGTGTTTTCTATTTTCATATGATGTATATGAATATGAAAATCAGCTGCTTTTAGTCAAAATGTGCGGTCTGAATCAAAACAATGCCAGAGTAGTCTTGCTTTAAAAGTTACAAAATCACTTTTTCAATACAAACAAGTCAATGACTTATTCTTACTTGTTAGTTGACATGCTTGTGTGATTGTATGAAATTATGTATCTCTCTCTGTTTTATGGGAAATTTTTAGGTTATTTATATATTTTTTTTCGAAGAAAAAAATCTATCTAAACATACACACATCATTCTTTAAATGGAAAAGTTTGTTTATTCTGCTAAAGCTTATGCCTCTTGATTATTACTTGTAGTTATGACTCGACTTTAGTATTTCTGGGCACAAGTTATTATAACTTGCATTTTGCATGCTTCTAACAGTTTTTTGTTGCAATGAAAGTGTTTCCAACAAATACATATCATTCTTAGATGGAAAACTTAGTCTTTTTCTGCCAAAGTTGATGCCTATTGGTCATCACTTGCAGTTTTTAACATCTCATAATTTGACTTTAGTTTTTCTTGGCATGAGTTACTATAACTTACTTGAGTTGTTGAATGTGTACAAAACTATCCACAAGTGTTTCCAGTTCATTCATCAATGAGCAGATTGGGAGGGAAAGGAAGCAATTTTGATGAATAAGCCCGTGAGACCCCAACATATTTCTCTTTCTTTCTATTTGTTACCAAACAAAGAAAATGATTTTGGCTTCTTTTGTATCCCTCCCAATCTCTCAACACATGCAGTAATATTTTTGCATCTGTTTCGATAGGGTTTAAATATTATAAAAATGAACATAATTTTTAAAAAGCTTTTAAATGATAATGTCATAACAATACTAAACGACATCACAAGGCACTAGTATTATGTTTGAGAAATTTTTTTTAGAAAGAAATAAAATGGAGTAAGATGATTAAAAGACAAATGCGATTGTTTGTAAGTTTTTTTTTTTTTTGGTTTAAAAAGGGATGGAATGGCAAAGAAGGCCCTCTAAAATCCTCCTTTGCCATCCATAGTTCAATATTTTTTATCCTTCTAAATTGGGGGGTTAAGGATGGAGTGATACAGTATAATTATTTTATTTATAAAATTACCTCTAACCTCCTATCATAATAAAAAAAATCTCATCTCTCATTTTCATTCTTAGTAATCTCTCTCGCCTCCTATTAGAGTTGCACATGAGTAGGGTCAAGTCAGGTATCACCCCAGCTTGATGTGCACTTAAACACTAGGCTAGCCCAATTGAGCTGAAAATATTTTTATAAGTATTTTTTAAAAAATATATAAAAAAGTTTTTCTTAAAAAATATTATCAGTATCATTATTATTTAAAATATATTCTTCATAAACCTAATATTAGAATAAAAATAATTTTTAAAAAGTTCAAATGAACAACAAATGCCAATTATTTTTACATAATAATAAGTTAAAAATAAATTTTGAATTTTGAAAGAGATTTTAAAAATTGTAATAATAAAAAATGTGTAAAATACCATAAAAATAATATAATTCATGATAACTTTTAATAAAAAAATAATGCTATAAGATAAATATTATTTACAAAAAATTTAAAAAAATTGCAAACGTTCGAGCAACACAAGGTTTGACCCCTGTTGATGTCTGACCTTATAAGCCCAAATTCTTTAGGTAAGGTCAGGCTAATTGGGCATTTAGACATAGCGCATAGTCATGCCTCCCCTCATATCTCTCTCGATCTTGCCATCTCTTTTTTTGTCACACCTTTCAACATTATGACGCTGTTGTATTTTCCTCTTGTGTAATAGAAATGTTTGCATAAATAGCTTTATTACTTGCTTTCTCTTTTTATTCTTAATTTTTGATTATCTTATTTAACTGTTAATTTTAATTATTATTATTATAATTTTTTGTTACATAAATATTATAATTATTTAATGGGCACTATTATTTTCTTTAAATTTAATTATATAGATAATATTGAAAGAAAAAAGTTTTAAATTGTTTCATTTCATTCATTTTATAATAACTCTAAAACAATAGTCATATAAAATCATTTCTACCCATCATAAAACTTTCAAATAATGAAAAATTTTGTTTTATTCTACTCTGCTCCGCTTCATTCCATTAATGACCATTCCTTTTCATTCAATCATAAACTCCCAAGCACACTCTAAAATAAAACTCAAAGAAAAAAAATGAATGACATGATTATTCAATACATTTTTTCAGAAATGTCCATTTTTATGTCCCGCTCTATTGTATAGGTCCAATTCGTTTCAATTACAAGAATTCAAGCATTCAAGACAAGCCAGTTTTAGAGTTGAATATTTACTCTTGGACTAAGGTATCCCAAAACCTAATAATTATCTTTTAAATCATAACAAGAATAATTTTCTATTAAAAATTTAATATTCTATTACAGGTTGCCAATGTAATTTTCCTGGATGCTCCCGTTGGCACTGGGTTTTCTTACTCAACAGTTTCCTCAGGATACAACACCACTGACACGAAAACTGTCTCAAACATTTATGAGTTTATCAGAAAGGTAAGCTAATTAATTTATTAAAATGAGTTTCCATACTTTTAGTTGTTTATTTATTTGTTAAATAACTCTGCTAATTTGGATTGTGGTGAAAAAAATTAAACATGCAGTGGCTCGTAGCGCATCCTGAGTTTCTGGAAAATCAACTTGTAATTGGTGGAGAATCTTATTCTGGCATCATTGCTCCAGCTCTTGTCAATAAAATTTTAAAGGGTAAATTAAATTAGGTGATTCCATCATTTAAAAAAAAAAAATATGAAGCATGTTATCTGAATTTATTTTTCTTTGTGCTCTTCTTGCTGTTACTGTAGGTAATGCAGCTAAAGACTATCCCGGATTAAATATCCAAGTAAATATTATTTACTTTGATTTCTTCATCCTTTTTCCAAATAAAAATATATAATTATATATGCTAATTAAAGTGGTTTGATATGGACACAGACTTTGGTTGTGGGAAACCCATTCACTGATGTGTATTATGATATAAATTCAAGAGTTAAGTATGCTCACAGAGTTGCACTTCTATCAGACGACCTCTATGAGGTAATTATTTCTGTAAATAAAATTCATATATTTAATATGAGTTCATTATTTTGTTATTATATTAATTGTCTCTTTTACTTGCCTTGTCATTTATAAAGCAAGCTGAATTTAATTGTCATGGAGAATATCTGCACCCGAACAAAAGTAATACTGCTTGTGTTGAGGATCTTGAGATGATTCATCGGGTCAGTACTGTAATTACAACTTTATTTTTTTTCTAATATATGTATCATTTTTAACTATCATTCTTTTGGAACAAAACTCATATTACTGACATTATTTTTTTGGAGAATAAGATTCTGAAATATTAAAATGACAAATACTAATGCAGTGCTTGGTAGATCTGAATGCTGCGATGATACTGGAAAACAAATGTGCAGCTTTCTCTCCAAGAACACAGAATCTCCGGTGGGATTTAGGCTCTCTTGGACTTAATCTCACTGATTCAGTCTTCTTAGAGGCCAATCCCATCACTTACTCCAGATATTGCAGAGTAATATATATATATATATATATATCTTCTTTCTTTCTCTCTTGTCTTCTCTTATATGATTAATGCTTCATTTCTGTGCACCACACAGAACTACAACTATTTGTTCGCGTACCTGTGGGCAAATGACGAAGCAGTACAGGAAGCTCTGAACGTTAGAAATGTAAGTATGTGTATGCATGTTATGATCTGAAATTAATTGAAGTGTATCTGATTGACCAGTATTTATGGGATGATGCAATCCACAGGGAACTATAAAACATTGGGAGAGATGCAATAAGAGCATAGCTTACACTTATGACATAAAAAGTAGCCTTCACTATTACAAGAGCTTCTTCAATGCAAAGCTTCTTCGTGTTCTGGTTTACAGGTAAACCATAAACTGTGTGTGTGTGTGTCAAATAAGTCAGTGTTGTATGGTTTCTGTGGTTTGTTTCTCAGCTAACACAGTGCTTTTGATTTGGTTGTGGCACAGTGGAGATCATGATCTGATCATCCCGCATGTGGGCACAGAGGAATGGATTGCAAGTTTGAACATGACTATATCTGCTGATGATGAGTGGAGGCCTTGGTATGTTGATGGGCAAGTTGCAGGGTGAGTATCGTTTGATTCGATGATAATAATATTAGAGCTGTCGAAACGGACCAGTCTGGACTCGTGTGAGCGAATCAGCTCAACAGTGCCCTAACCTACAAAGAAAGCTGAGATAAAGATCGGATTTGGCTTTTTTTTTTTTTTTTTTTTTGCAGATATACAGAGATATACAAGAAAGACAAGTTCAGCATAACATATGCAACAGTCAAGGTAAGAGAATATCATAACCATTTTGAACAAGGTTTTGTTGATGAGTAAGTGAGTTAAATGGAAAATGGAATGATTTCAGATCCTGAGAATCACCAAGATTAGGAAAAGCCTTAAGGTTTATATAATGCCTACATAAATATTTATAGATCATAGATCACCCATAATCAAAATCCTCACGTCAGCACTGGAATTCGAGCTCACAAAGTAATAGGGCATGAGTCACATTTTTATCAATTGGACTGATTTTTGTTAACAAAAGAAAAAAATAGCATTGTTTCTGAAAAAGTGAAATGAATGGAAATGGGCAGGGAGCGGGACATACAGCTCCAGAGTACAAGCCAAAGCAGTGCTATAATATGATTGGGAGGTATCTTGCTTATTTCTTTCTTTAAGGGACCAGCCAAATGTGCTCGGTCCAGTGAGCCACCCCAATAAATGGAACACTCTTTGTTATTTGGCTTTCCTCTGTGTTTCCAATTTGTAAGTGATAATTTGAGGACCCTAGGGCTCAACTAGATCCATCAACATTTCGTTAGCAATTAGCTCTGGATTATTTTTTGCAGAATGGATTTATCATTTTTACTTTCTTGCCTTTTCTTTTTGGTGCCTCGTATATGCAATAATATATATGAAGCTTCTCATAAGCTGTTAATGAAGTGATTTTTCAAAACTTAAATCTGTCAAAGTAAAAACCAGAATCTCGCATGAATAGGCATACCTAGACTTCAGAGTTAAAAGGCTTTGACTTTTTTGGTAAATTAACATCTTCAATTTAGCCGAAGAAGAAGAAGATTGAAATCTCGCGTGCTTGTTGATGTCACTCTGCATTGACATCTAAAGTGTAAATTACCAGTGCGTCTGAAAATTAAAGGTCGCGTTCAGGGTTCTCGCATGTAAATTAACATTTTTAAAAAAAGTCAAGATTTTATAATATATTTGTATCTGAATCAATCAGTGCTATATATGAATCATATCGAACTCAGGTTCATGAATATATGAAGTGGCCGATTAGTTAAAACAAGGAGTGTAAGATGATATGAAACTGAGTTCAGAAAAGTTGACGGTCGGTTAGTTATGAATGAATGTCGAAGGTTGGATCATGAGACGGGTAACTCCAGCTTCTACAATCGCCAAGTCTGTGTCCATTAAAGGCACTGCAGGTTCCTTTTTTTTTTTTTTTTTTTAATGGAGAACGATAGTCTTATTGCTGTGAAAAACAGATTCAAGAGAGACCAAAGAAGGAATCTTTTAAAGGGCAAAGGGAGGGAACCAACAGGGCCGTAGCGAAGCCATGTCTGGAGTCTAGGGTGCAAAACAACTCAAAAGTTAAAGCATATATTTAATTTTTTAATTTTATATAATAATTTATTTTAATTTCTTAACTTTATAAAGTGTCTAGTCATCTTAATACTGTTAGTTTTATCCCACAAATTTTTATATTAAACTTTTCAATGTTAACAAAACATTTTTAAATATTAACATATTAAGTTTAATTTTTTAAAATAATAATAATTGACATAAAAAATAATCATTTGAAACTAACTACGTTAGGGTTAAAGGATTAAAAAGATATTTTATAAAATTGAAAGATTAAATTAAAATATTATATAAAGTTAAAGGATTAAAAGTATAGTTTAGTCATTTAAAAATTAAAAGTTAAAAAAATAATATGATAATTTTAAAAAATAATTACATTAGACCAAAAAAATAATAACAAAAATAAAATTATACATATTTTATGTGGGAAAAAATACATTGAAGATTTGTTTGGGCAAAAATGCGTTGAAAAGGTTAACATAGGGTTTATGTTTGAAATAAAAAAAAAAAAACCATTACCCAAGAATGATGTCTTAATTTGTGGTTGGATTTTATTAAAAAAAAACACTCTTGATCCAACTTTTTCAATGATATGTCCAATGAGTTTAAATTTTTTAGTTTGAATTATAGAATATGAGTTAAAATATCATATATTTTAAAAAAATTTGAACCCAAATATTTTTTAATTAAATCTAGAGGGTTCAAAATTTAAAAATTAGAAATAGAAGATTGCAAAATCAACAAACCCTGTATGTAATTTTTTTTAAATAGAGAAGGTGCATTTGCCCCTTGTACATGGCTCTCCGTTGAGCAGGGGTTACAACCTTTCAAAGTTTTTAAATATTTTTTAGTATTATATAAATATTACATATTTCTATAGTCTCAAAATTTATAAAAATTTTGTGATATATATATTTTTTAATCTCGACCCCTTACTATTAAATCTTCAGTCTGTCCCTTCAACTATTGTATGAAAACCCAAACTGGATTGGTCGATTTAGCCCATGAACCGATGACTTGATCTCTTTTTTGATCTAGATTTTCATCTAAACTAGCCAACCACTGACTCGGGGTCAACCCAGGATAACTCAACTAACTTGGTAGCTGGGTCACTTTTTTAATTTTTTTTTTGTTTTTTTAAATTGTAAAAACTAAATAAAAAGTAAAAAATTCAGCTTGAAAATAAAAAAAAGCAAGGCAATGGAAGGCAAGGCAAGTAAACTAAATTTTACTGTAATTTGAACTTTAAATAAAGTGCCTTAATTGTAAGTTGGAATTTAAAAGATTCAATATTCTTTTAAGTTAATTGTACCTTAATTTTTTTAATCTTTCATTATTTGCTGTTATTCATTTGTCTGATTGTTATTTAGCATTCATAAATTATAAATGTCATTGTTGATGATTTTCGTGTTAGTAATTATTAGTTTTGGACTTTTTAATAATTGAAGGGCTGTAAATTATAATTGTAAGAATGAACATTTGAAAAGTTGTATTTTATTATTATTAGACTTTTAGGTGGTTGTAATTCTATAATTATTATTGTATTTGTATCTTGTATTAGATATTAATCTTGAATTTAGTTGAATATTTTCACAATTAATATCTTTTTATTTAAATTATATTATTTTAATCATAATCTGTTTGCCCTCCTGATTGACCCTCGGTTCAACCCAAATTGAACCATTAACTCATAACTCATTAGCTTGACTGATTCAATGACTAATTCAGTTTTCAATACCTTGCCTTCAACAACTATCACCACTAAATGAAGAGTGGTTTTGTCAAAGATATAGATCATTTTCTAATTCATGACATTTCTTAAGTAAGAAATTAGCTATACAATTGACAAGTACGTGAAACTAACGGCTAATTCTTATTCAAAAGTTTGAATAATTTATTACTCCTTAAACCTAAAAATATAAATAATAATGAGTCAAAGTTCATCTTTTTTTGGTACTTTCTTTTAAAAAGTGCTAAGTATTATGTACTTTTTTTTAAGTATTTTCTGTTGTTTATGTGTCAAAAGTATGTGTGTGTGTCAAAGTCTCACATTGACTAAATAAAGGACTCTCCTAATATATATATACTAAGAAATGAAATAGGCTAGTAAAATGAGCTTGGAGGAGAAGTGGCCTCTCGCACATGAGACAAGCCAACATAGGGCAATCGCAGTTGAAATCAGCCAATTCGCCCCCTACATGCGAGTTTAAGAGGCACTGAGTTCCTTTAATTAATTATTTTTAGCTTACCTGAAAAACCTCTGGTTTTGTTGTTTTGAATTTGAACTTGAAGTCTTGGCAGTTTTTTTAGGCATTAAACCACTTTTGAAAATTGATTTTGTGAGTTAATGTCTCAAACATTTTTGTCTGCCAACGTTACATAACCGAAGCATTAATCTATATATGTTTTTGCTATTTTATGCGTGCGTAATCGAAGTATTGACCAGTGATTATGAGCCATTCGTGCCTCCATCCTCGGGCTATATATAGCCCTGGGTGCAGATAGAAAAACTCAACCAACCTCTTGAGTTTTCAGGATAATTCTCTCCTCCCTCTGCCTTCTGCTCTCATGTCTATCTATGTTTGCTTTTTAGTCACCGCTGTTCTATTTTCTTTTTTTGCAGGAAGTGTCTGTTTAATCTTGGGGAACTATCGGTCCGTCGAAGGTGTATCAGAATAATTCTTAAGGATAATGTCCTTTCGAACACAACTCAAGCAGTTCGTAATTTGCCATTCACATTTGCTACCGGTGCCGCCAACATTTTCACTCATATAAAAAAAGTCCCACTTATTAGTATAAGATACCTAATGCTTCTTGAAGGAAAGAAACTTTGGGATGTTTGGCATTCTTAGAAACAAATTAATATTAAAGGACATATCATATCAGCAAAAAATAACACAGTCAATGGATCACCAATGGCGGGAGATTTGTACTCCCCTGAAGAATGATAAAATGCCCTACTTATTTATATAGAATGTTCAACACTTTTTAAAGAAAAGTTCAAAGAAGAAAATATAATTTAACCCAATAATAATTCATCACACTTGTGTTTCTTTTAACTATGCCCTTTTGAAGAATTTTTTTTATTTATTATTTTTTTAAAAGAAAATTGAAGGCAATATTCAATTATGCCATGTCTAATCTCATTAGTTAAGGGAAAGGGAGAATGACACGTGAGGATTGCACCGATTAGCAAGCGAGAGAAAATAAATTTGGAGAAATTAGTTGTTACTATTAATTAAGTACAACATAATCATTATCTTAGCCATTGTACTGTATTTATCATTTTTTCTTTTAAATGAAGGCGGTTTATTATAATGTTTTAGATTCAATATAGTTTTTCATGGCCCAAAAGCTAGTTTTTCCTTTTGTTTTTGGGTGAAGACAAGCAAAGAGTTCAGTTGCCGCCAATTCAAACTTTATGTGTGATGTAAGTCCCATTAGGAAAAAAATTATAATTCTTTTATAAGTTATCTTTATATAAAAAATGAATTATTAATTATTTTATTTCTATAATTTTTAATAATTGGATTGAAATAAAATTGCACTGAAAGAATGGAGAATGACAACTTAGTTAAGGGGGTAGTTAATTCAATTTAAATTTCAATTAATTTTAGAATATCAATAAAATTCCATGTGTGCTTTTTTTCAATAAATTTGACTTATAAAAGAATTGACTTAAATACTTTTTCATTAAATATATTATAAAATTTAAAAAATAAATTATAAAATCATCCTTTCAAAATTATAAAATTAAAAGTCAAGTTTTCAAATTTTATTCTTTGTTGAAATTGAAAAAAATATAAATTCATCCGAACAAAATTATAAAGTTGAGATTCAAAATTACATATTTTTTTATCCATTAGAATAATACTACTTCAGAATCAAGCAACTTATTGTTTTAAAATTTTAAAATTGCTTCAGATTTAAGGTGAATAAATCAATCTGAACACAGTTGACATTCTTTCCAAAAAAAATAGCTTTTTTTTTGGCAAAATAAAAAAAATAATTTTAAAAATGTTGAAAGTGCTACCTATGTTTTTATATATAAAATATTTTTAATTTAATCATATAAATTAATAAAAATTATTAAAAATACAATAATATTTTAATTTTATTTATAATTATTATAAATAAAAAATAAAGTTTTTAAAATAAATTAATGAGAGTATTTGTATTTTTTATTTTTATTTAATAATAATATAATAATTTATTTATTTATATTTTTTAATATTTAATGATAAAAAATTATAAAAAAATCTCTCAGAG